ATGGAAGGGTCCTTAAAGATCACAGAGCCATGGAAGGTTGGGATGGAGGGATCATAAAGACCACAGAATGATGGAAGAGCACACGCTAACAACTGGCTGAGAGTTGGGCAGAGAGGAACCTGATGAGCTCCAACAAGGGTGAGTGCAGAGTCCTACACCTGGGGAGGAACAATTGCACACACCAGGACAGTTAGGGGCTGAGATGCTGGAAAGAAGCTCTCCAGAGAAGGACTTGGTGGCTTTGAGCCAGACGTGTGTCCTGTGGCCACAAAGACCCATGGAGTCTCCTTCTCTGCAGATACTCAAAACCCACCTGGACACATCCCTGCTACAGGGAACCTGCTCTATCAGGGGTTGGATTGGAGAATCTCCAGATCTCCCTTCCAACCACTACAGTCCCGGGATTCTGTAAGAGCACAGCCACCAGCTCCACCACTTTTGGACTCCTCGACTTGGGACGCAATAAGAGATCACACAAAACACAGTGACCGCTCACCTGGCAAACTCAGTGAGCAAGCATGCTACCACCCAACCACGGTGCAAGCACAAACCCGGGCCAGCAAGCAGCCAACGTGACTCAGGGCCCTGACTCACACCTGCAGGTGTAAGTTCAGCCATGGCTGTTACTCACCCAAAAGCTCAGCCTGCAGCATGAGCAGAGAACGACGGCCCCAAACACAGCTCTGGTCTGGACTGGTTCTGTTCTCCTTATGTGCTGCTATGAGATTTTAAGTCAGTTTGCTTAACAGCACAGAGGGAAAAACAAGTACAGGAATGAAATGAGGGAGAAAGGTTTTGGCAGCCTTGGAGAGAGTTGCTGATTGCCTCTCTAAAGCCACCAGGTCTTCTGTTCTGTGTTCATCTGTTTTTCAAAGCATTTGGGAGAACTTCTCCTGTTTCCACAAAGTAGAGCGTGTGGAACTATTTTAGCACTAATTATGAGCAAACTTCAGAAAAGGATGTGGGAAATTGAATAATTCTGGAGATGTCCATACATCAGTGAATGTCTGAAAGCAAATGCATGGAGATTTGGCAAGATTCAATGCAAGATCCCAATGTTTCTGGGTCAGCAGATGGGAAAACAGTCTAGAAAAGCCAGACTCGTGCTTTGTGTGTGAAGTAATCCGGCTGTGGAGCTCAATGCCCTGAGTGAGCACTGTTGGGAATTAACACACTAAATAGGCATCCCAGGGGACAGCAGAGCTTGAGACAAGGCAGAACCTTCCAACCCAACCATCCTACAGTCCCCAAGTGTCCTACAGACAACCCAAGTGTCCTACAGTCCTAAAGGACCCTTCCAACCCAACCGTTCTATGATCTTCAAGGACTCTTTCAACCCCAAGTGTTCTACAGTCCTAAAGGACCTTTCTGATCCAACCATTCTTTGGTTCTACCATCTTCAAGGACCCTTCCAACCCAACCAAGCCATCCTATGGTTCTGTGATCTTAAAGGATCCTTCCAATCCAACCATCCCATAGTCCTATGACCTTTTAAGTCCTTCCCAACCCAACCACTCCTATTTTTACAATGAGTGGCCTCCCCTTTGACGTGACAGCATTGAGACGCACTGAGTTGAACACAGAAGGGCAAAATTCTGCCAATCAGGACCTTCTGCAGCAATCACCGTGACACAAACTCGCTCCCAATCCCGGCACAGCTGAAGATCTAATGAGATAAAAGTTCGCCAACCCACATTCTAACGAGATAAGCCACTAATTACCCCGTCCAAAGGGTGGAAGGAGAACACAGTGAGTCTGAATGGACACACAGACAACTCACATAGGTGTGCACATACCTGTAGGTATGGAGACACACACGTGCAAACAACGTACACACCTACAGGCTGCGCACACAGCAGTACAGCCGGACACACGCCTGGCACAGCCACACACCACGTCATATCTCCCATATTACCTGCTCCTGCACTCAGGGCGTTTCCGTGTCCCCAAGATAACGGTGGAGACGGGAAGCCAACCTGATGGGCACACCTATAGGGCAGTGTTCTCATCAAGGCTCACCTCATGCCCCCAGGCACAGGTATAGATGCAGGTAGAGGGGCTGGAAGGGTCACCAAGCACTGCCAAGCTATCTGTTTGGAGGGGAGGGTCTGGGGAGAGGGGGGGAGGGGGATTAAGAACCATAACGTTGTCCACTTGGGGGAGTGATCCTGTCAGCAAGCATCACCACTGTGCCGGATTGAGGGGGGTTACCCAATGTCCCCAACACAGTCCTACTTTTGTCGGGGGCCTCCCCTGCCCCCCCAGCTTCAGTTACAGGAGATTCAACCCCAGTGCCCAATAACTATAACCATGAGGAGAGGACAAGCCCCTGCCTCCAGGTACCAGCTTGGCTTCACTTTGGAGTTTCACCCCACATCCCCAAACACAGGGACAGTCGCACCTTTGGGGGGGGGGAGGGAGGGTCACTCCCTGTTTGTGGGGATCACTGCACCTCAGTTTGTGGGGGTCACTGTGTTCCCCAAGCACAGCCACAATGCCTATCTGGGGGGAGGAGGGGGGGGGTAAGGAACCCCACATATACAAATACCACTTATTTTGGGTCGGGCGGGGGGGAGAAGAGGGGGTGATAACCACAGTCCCGAGGCACCACCACAGCTCCAGTTTGGGAGGGCACAACCCAGGTCCCCAAATACAGGGACAGTCCCACGATCCCTCCCCCCCTCCCCCCCATACCTTCTTAACGGTGCGGGGCGCTTCACTAACGGTGCCGTCGGGGCTGACGAGCGCTTCGGCCGCCGCTCCGCCGTCCGCCGCCGCCGCCGCCGCCCCCCCCACGCCGACCCCCCCATCGCGATGCCGGTGCTGTGGGTGGTGGGGATCGCTTCGCTTCATGGCCGAGGCCTGAGGCACCTTCACCGCACCCGGCGGTGGCCTCTCGGCCGCCGTGACCGCTTCCCTCTCCGTTCCGGAACACGGAACCCCAGGGGAGGGATGAGGAACGGTCGTCGCTTCGCAGCCCTTCTCCATGGGACCGCTCAGCTCCTTCAGCTCCACCGCGGGGGCCGCCACCTGCACCGACATCGCCGCCGCCGTCCGCCGCCTCCGCCTCCCTCAGAGCTTCGGGGCCCGCCCCGCCGCGGGGCACGCTGGGAGTCGTAGTCCTCCCGCCCCCCTCCCCGCCCGACCTATGGGGGCGGGGGAACTACGACTCCCAGCGGGCTCCGCGCCGCCTGGCCGCCGCGCTACTCTCGGAGAGAACTACAGCTCCCAGCAGCCCCCGCGCGGCTCCGCACCGCCCTCACGCCCACCCCCTTCGCGCGGGGGGTGCTGGGAGATGTAGTGCGGCGGTGTTGGGGCGCGGAATGGCGGCGACGATGGACGGGAGCAGAAGTGTTAGGGAGCGTCCCAAAAGCGGATGCGGAGATGGGGAACAGCACTCATACGTCGGGTCGGGGTTGTCCCAACTGGACGCGATCCGTGCGTGTCCCTTCCCTCGGGATATTCATCTCAATCTCTTCTTGCCAGCGAAGGGAAACCTCACGGATTGATCAATCCGTGCCGCGTTAATTGGGCGCTGCTCCTTCCCGTCGGGGAGTCGAGGCGCGCTCCCCTGCTGAGCAAACGGGCCGTGCCGCAGCTCTCCGGCGATACGGTGCGACGTCAGCGCCAGCGGAGCGCTGCCGGAGGTGTTATCTCGGCAAACAGCCGCTATCAGATAGGGAGGGAGCGGCTGATGAAATGCGGTGGGCATTGGGGTGGAGCAGTTCCGCCCAAATTTAAGAGAGAAGCCGGACTTTGGACAACCAAGCACGCCTTGGGCACGGCGGAACGTGGGGAGCTGAGCTCCATTCGTGAATGTGGACCTTGTGCCCCCAGGACCCCCCGACGAGCGGCTTTGGGGACGTTCAGATCCACAGTGCCATCTGCTGGCAAACGGTCCCCCCTCCTCCCGGCTCCCCACAACAGCGCCCCAAGAACTCCTCCAAGCATCCCAAAACATCCCCACTGGGTTCCAAAGCGACTCCCATCACTGCTTCTGGTTCTCCACAAAAACCTTCCCCATTCTCACCCTGATTTGCACAGGGGCAGCACTGAGGAGTTCCCATGAAAGCCAACCCCGACCCCGAGGACTTTTAGGAGCTTTGTCGGTGTTTCCCCACCCTCAACATCTTCCCACAGAACCCAGGGCAGCCGCCAGCAATGGAAATTTGACAAATTTAATACTGATACAGGAGGGTTTCTGCTTTACACAGCAAAAATCAACCCGTGGAGGTCGCCGGGGGGGGGGGGGGGTAGGGAGAAAGCCGTGAGCCTACCAGGATTTAATAAACACTCAAAAGACATTTACAGGACTAAGGGGGAGATATAAAGCACCAGCAAGGACAGGTGTCCTCCTACGTCAGGGCTCGGATACAATTTGTTCCTTTTTCTTTAAAAAAACAGTTTAAAAAAAAGGCTTTGCTCAGGGGGTTGGTGCACCCAAGACGGCAAAGGGGATCTGGAAGGAAGGCACTTTGGGATCCCTGCAGCAGAGCCCGAAAAATGGGGATGCTGCTGCACCCCGTGCAGGGCCGCCACGTCTCGGTGTATTACAAAGAATACAAAAATAATTGTTTAAAAACCCTACTGGCACCTTAAAAGTGTTGGGAAGCTCTACGTACCATCTAGCTGTGGGGCGGCAGAGCAGTCCACGTGTGGGGATTGAAATCAACACCTTAACCTGCCTACCACCACTGGGGTGTGAGGGAGCGTCCCCCTCACCCCTAAATCCTGGCAGAGCCTTCGAGGGGTTCTGCTCCAACCAGTTTCTCTTCTCCCATCCTCAAATCCCGCTGGTGGGTTGGGATGAGCATCAAATCCATCCGGACGACGCTGGGCTTGACCCCGGGTGTTGGTTGGGCTCCAGCGTTCCCTTGGGGCTACCCGGATGCCGGTGGGCTCCGCTGTCCCCAGCATCGTGCAGGGCTCAGAAATCTGAGTCGGCATCCAGCAGCTCCGCGTTCACCAGGTTGGTCCGGGAATGGATGGGAGCCAAGCCGGCGCGTCTACCCCGAGTCCTCGTCACCCCACTGCCACTAGGAAGGGGCTCAGGGGGCCATCGAGGGCCCCCATTTTGCTGCCGGTGCCCGACGCTGGGACCGGGGCTCTCCTCATCCTCTGGAGAGCCACTCTCGGGGCAGAAGGGATTGGTGATGAGGTGGGGGATGTGGGCTCGACGCCGGCCATCCCACAGCCCCCCAGCACCGTTGGGGAGGCCCGGGAGGACAGCGGGGATGAAGGTGTCCCCTCTACACCGGGGGATGGCCACCAAGCAGTGCTGCTGGGGCAGCTGGGGCAGGTGAGGCACGGAGCTGGGGAGCCGGGGGGCCACAGAGAGCCCGGCGCGGCGCTCAGGGCACACCTCCTCCTTTTTCTTCTTCCTCCGCTTCTTCTTACGGCTGCGCTTCTGCAGCTCTGGGGAGACGTCGGCCTCCACCACCCAGAGGTTGCTCCGCTCCTCCGGTGGCACTGTGGGACACAGGGATGGTAAGAGTGGCCACAGCTCAGCCCACAAAGTCCCAGAATCGTAAGGGCTGGCTGGGACATCTGGATATCATCCAGTGCAACCCATCACGTTCCCTAGAGCAGGCAGCCTTCCACTGGACTCTTTGCAGCAATTCCCTGTCTGACACACACTGGGGAGCCCAGAACTGGACCCAGTGCTCCACCTGTGGTCTTCCTAGGGCAGAGCAGCGTCCTTCTTGGACACTGCTGACTCACGGTCAACCATTGGTCAACTGCTGGTCAACCACTGGTCAACCTGTCATTAATTTAGCAGAGGGTTGTTAGGGTAGTATAGTTAGGTTGTGGTTGGACTTGATGATCTTTAAGGTCTTTTCCAGCCCGAGCAATTCTGATTCTATGATTCTAATTGCTGGTCAACCACTGGTCAACTTGTCATCACTTGCTGGTCAACCACTGGTCAACTTGTCATCAATTGCTGGTCAACCACTGGTCAACCTGTGGTCAACTGCTCGTCAACCACTGGTCAACCTGTAGTCAACTGCTCGTCAACCACCGGTCAACCTGTTCTCAACTGCTGGTTATCTACTGGTCAACCACTGGTCAACCATGACCACCAGGTCCTTCTCCTCAGAGCTCCTTTCCGGCAGCTCAGCCCCTAGTCTGTACTGATGTGTTCCTCACCAGGTGCAGGAGCTACACCTGCACTCAGTGAACCTCATCAGGTTGCTCTCCACCCAACTCTTCCCCATTCACGTTCCCAGGGACTTGCCAGGTGTTGCCACCGGTGTAACAGAGACGTCCTGGGGCAGGATGGCCCCTCTCCTGGCCACCATCTTGGTGACGTGCTGAGCCCACGCAGAGGACACATCAGCTGATGGCTCATTGATGTCAAACGCCAAACCAGCTGCCAAGACAAAGGGGAAGATCCATCAAAAAGATGGGGGAGAAATCCACCCTGAAGGCAGGGACAAAGAGGGAGATCCATCCCAAAGGTGGAGACAGCAGGGAGAAGTGGCCCCATCCCTCCCCATCACCACGCATACCCACAGGACCGTCGTGCGAGACGGTGTGCATACTGAAGGACAGCTCCCGGCCCGGGTCACGCAGCAGCTCCTTACGCTTGGAGAAGGCTTTGGCAATCATCTTGCTCTTCTTGATCCTCTTGGGCTGGTCGTCGCTCTGCCCTGTCAGCCTGGGGACAAGGTGGGGACATGGGGTGGCCCACGGCACAGGATACGCACAGCCCTGGGGACTGTCTCTGTCTGGAAGGGGTGAACCAGGGGCTGGGGACTGTGCCTGATGGGTGTCCTGTGGGGGGTGAAGGTGTCCCACAACCACAACACACCACCCCATTCCCCACCCTGCTGTGACCCCACAGTTTGTTGACTCAACGGACAAAAGTCAGGGGGGAACCTCCAGCATCTCAAGATGTTGGACGTCATCCCAATATCTGAAGATGTTGGACAGGGCATAGAGCAGCGGTGACACATAATGGGATATTGTCCTGCAACCAGTACATATACTGTAGGACATGCCACTCCATAACCTATCCTCAAAACCTACTGTGACCCCACAACTCCTTGACCCGATGGCCAAAAGACTAAAGACGACCTCCAACATCTCCAGATGTTGGATGGGGCACGTGGAGTCGTGCTGATATCCCCACGGGAAGCTGGATGGGGCACAGAGCTGGGGTGATATCCCCATGGGGCACTGGGTGGCAACTGGGGTGACATCCCAGGATCCCACCTGCACCAGGTGCGCTTCCAGATGAGCAGGGTGGCCTTGGTCCAGACCCAGGTGCTCATGGAGATGCCTGTACCAAACATGGCAAAGAGGTTGATCTTCTCCACCAGCAGGCTTGGACGGTTCTTGATCTCACACTCTGGGATGGGTTTGTTGGTCTGCGTGGCGATGGTCACGTTGGCCTCGCACCTGCGTAGACAGACATGAGTGAAGGGGACACCCAGCACCCTCAGCAGGGGACACGGTTCCCTCTTGGGGGACGCAGGGTTTAAAACAAGTCAGTTAACGCATCCCCTGCTCACTGTCCCTGTTCCACTCACAGGACATATTCCCGAAAGCTTCGCTCCCACTCTGCCTGGTTGAAGAAGTCGTAGAAGTGGCAGCCAAAAGTGATGAAGACGAAGCCAAAGGCCAAGAACCCGAAGATGCCTGAAAGAGAAGTTGGACGTTCCTGGCTGAGTCGAGCTCCAGCGATACCATCAACAATGCAGCTTTGCCTCTTGGTGCCAAGACGTGGGACAGGGATGTCTGCATCCAAGGGACAAACACCCCAAATTCCCACCCCAACTCCCACAGAAGTGGTGCTCCTGGGGCTGCCCTCACCCAGACGCAGCATGGTCTCGTTGATCTTGCTGGCAGCCTTCTCGCTCAGCAGCCCAGGGTGGTTGCTCTTGATGGAGAAGAGCGTCATAACCCCTGCGGTGTAGGGACATATTGGTCAGGGGTGAGGATACCTGCAGTGCCTCCATCCCCACAGTGCACCCACACCTACCCCGGATGAGGAAATAGCCCCCGACGATGAGGACGAGACCGATGGGTGCCAGGACGAAGCCGGCGCGGTAGCGATAG